CTGAAGGCAGGAAGCTCTTGCTAAACTTCCAGGAATGAGGTGACAAGCTGAACTCTAAGTTTGCAGATCATTTCCTGGAGTGTAAGGAGGTGTTAGACCAAATGGTATTTGGGCATATTGCTCCCTTGCCTTAGAAAATCTTCCTTCTATGAGTGCATAATAAAGACATGACTTTGCAGTAAATTTTTGGTAAGTTACTGAAGAACAGAATATTGGATTTAAAATTTCTTTAACCAAAATTTCCACTACACGCACATTTTTTGTTGTTGCTTTCCTTCTGACATGTGAAAACCTTTTGAAAGCAAGGATGCAGAGTGGAAAGAGTAAAGGCTAAGAGTGACAGGTGGAATGGTGACTGCTTTTGGCCACAGAATTTGGCCTATGGTGGTGGGGTGTATGAAACTGTGTTCTGCTTTTGTGGTCAATCAAACAAATATTCTCTGTAATGCAGGAGGCTCTCTCCTTTCACTTCTTGTTATTCTCATTCCTAGTCTCCTTGGAAATCATTTCTTTTGCTGTTCGTGTGTATGTTTTGTTGGTGTGTGCCTTTATATTCTTTTTTTTTTTTTTTTTTTTTTGAGATAGGTCTTTTTGAGATAGGGTCTCACTATGCAGTTTAGGCTGGCCTTGAGCCCACTTTGTAGTCCAGGCTGGTCTCAAATTTACAGCGATCTTCCTGCCTCAGCCTCAAGAGTGCTGGAATTATAGGCATGTGCCATCACACCCAGCTTCTTTACACTCTTTTAATTCATTAAAGTGGTGTGAATAATTTTGGCACCCAAATACTTTGGCACCCAAATGAAGAGATTTTTACACACAGGACAAACTTGGGCACTTTTTATGCAAAAATTGCATTTTCCTTCATGACATTTTTAGGAATGCTGCTGACACTTCATGAAAAATATGTAGTATTAACCTATGACAAGTAGAGTGTATTAATTTCATGTATCCTCTTGAGACAAGCTAAGAGTAAAAATGCTGCTTTTTTTTTTTCTTTTTTGGTTTGAGACAGGGTCTCACTATGTAGCCCAGGCTGGCCTCAAACTTTCAGCAATCCTCCTGCCTCAGCCTCTCAAGTGTTTGGGATTATAGGCGTGCGCCACCGCACCCAGCCAAGATGAAGTCTTGATTAGATGAAGATTGCTGGACTCAGAACTGCACTTACCTTGTTCACATCACCACTAGGCATATTATGCATAAACTACTAACTGACTACACAACATTATGTAACACAACATACTTTTGGTTGAATTCACCAGTGTTCTAGTTTTTTGAGACAGGGTCTCAGCTCAGGCTGGCCTTGAATGCATGCTGATACTCCTGCCTCAGCCTTCCAAGGGCTGGGATTACAGACTTGCCCCACTATCTGACTTTTCTTTCTTTCTTTCCTTCTTTCTTTCTTTCTTTCTTTCTTTCTTTCTTTCTTTCTTCTTTTTCTTTCTTTCTTCCTTCCTTCCTTCCTTCTTTCCTTCCTTTCTACCTTCCTTCCTTTCTTCTTTCTTTCCTTTCTTTCCTTCCTTCCCTTCTTTTTTTTTACAAAATTTAACACTAGAATTTTCTCTTAGGGGAAAGTCCTTTACAGCTTAATTTTCATAGGAATTTTAACTGTGAAATACAGATTTATCTTGTATCTACTTATGAAAATGGATAACAGAGTTGCTAGTGCTATTTATTTAATTATCCTTTTAAGGATATAGATCAGTGTAACCCAGTTACATTTTGATTACTAAATCCACTCCAACCCACGCAAGACTTAACAGAGAGTATTTCCTTAAAAGAGATTTTTGACATATACCGTGAAAATTTTATATGGAAATAATCATCTGTATTTGAAAAGGTGAAGAGCACTGAAGAAACTGTAACGAAAGGGAAACGGGATGATCCCTTTAGATGCCGTATATTTGAAAGAATGAAGTTTACAATGTGAATAGGAGAAAAATAGTCCAAAGCAGCCCTTCAGAACCCTGAAGGGAAGCAGAAAGTCCAACTAGGCCACTGAACTAAGAAAACAAACAACAACAATAACAACAACAAAACCCTAAGGCCCTAAACTTTTAGGAGGTCCGGTGTATCTGTCCCTGGCCAGGCTCACGTGTGGCTAGTTCATGCCAGGCATGTGTCATCAGGTAAAGACAGACTTTCCTTGAGAGAAAAATGACATCTGTCAAGCGGATGAGCGTCCTTCCCTCTCTCTGTGAAACTGGCCTAAAAATGTTACCTTGAAGGCTGGTGGGGGGGGGGCACATCTTTAACCACCTCAAACAAAAAAAGAGGCTAGATATCAGCACTGCATCCTTCAAGCTTCTTTGCGTTGGCATCATAAAAAGCAAGAGACAAAAGGTAATAGAAAGAATTAAAAGGAGATTCAGGAGTCTCACCCTCCCATGCCTCGGGCATGTAATAAATTTTAAGTGTTCTCTTGCCTGTTTAAAAAATAATTATAAAAGGAGATTCAAGCTGCACTCTCGAGGGAAAACCTTAATCTGGCCCCAGGGATGTAGTTTAGCCACTGAACCAGCAAGTACTACCATGTTAACATTCAGAATTTCCTGAATTGATTCCATTTATCAAGAGATAATCGCATGCCCAAGCTGGAACACGTGGGTATATTTGATGTACACTATTGACATCATATGTTTTTAAAGACTCATATGGGCAGGGTATTGTCTCAAAGAAATTCCTGTTAGAAGATGATCTTACAGGATTACTGCAATGTTATTTTATATAATTACCTATAAGAAAAGAAAACAGATTTTACTAGTGTTTTGTTTATTTTATACCATTGCTTGTTCATTCCTTTTGGGTGCTAATCTCTTGCTTTGTAGCCTCTATTTTCCTTTCTGTAAACCATCACCCTCATGTATGTTTAAATTCCTGTCACGGGGCTGGAGATTTAGCTCAGCGGCAAAGCGCCTGCCTGGCAAGCGCAAGGTCGTGAGTTCGGTTCCCGGTACCGGAGATAAATTCCTGTCACTGCAATTATACTTTAATTTCTGGTCCTGCGCACCTCCTCCCTCCAGTCTTGTTGGCTACCTCTCTTCCCCAAAAGTGGCTGGATTTGAATGGAGGCTTTTGCTGAGCGGCCAGCACTTAGTGCTTCAACTTCGGAGCATATGAATAAGCCGCCTTTTTTTTCTTTCTACTTGCTCATTTTAATAACAAGACAATATTCCCTGGGAAGGTAAAATAACACTTGTAAATATGTAGATTGTCCTTCATGCCTCCTAAAGTCAGTTCATGTCAAATGGCATAATCTTTGAGATCTGTGACTGCAGTCTAATTTTTTATTTACCTAATATTACTATTTTTGTCATGAATCTTCTTTACTAGTGATAAGGCAGAAAGCTATACATCTCCCCCTGGTGGCTCCTCCTAGGGTCTGTCTTTTATATCTTCAGTTTCTTCCAATTCCAATCAGCCCCGATAAAACGCTGCTAAAATAATCTTCAGCCACAACTCTGGCATCACTCTCTTGCTCAGATCTGCATTTCTCTCTACCACCTGTAGAATAAGATCCGAACTCCTTGGTCCTATCCACCTGGAATTCTTTTATACTATTTGTTTTTTCAAATTCTGTCTTCAGGGTCCACATTCCTCTTTCCCAACCCCCCACCTGGGCGTAGCCTCTCCATTTTGTCTGCTACACCACCACCTGCCAGTAATCAGTTATAGTGGTCTGTGCTCATTTTATCTCTCAGAGCATTTTTAAGACTCTGGAAAATAGGAAAAGACAGTGTCATTTTCATCTTGTTGCCTACTCATCAAATGCATTCAGTAAATAACTATATAATTGAAGAGAATAGATAAAGGGTTTAGTAAAATTAAAAGCTGTTATTAGACTTTAAAAACAGAGAAAGAATTCAAGGATGGGTCAAGAGAGGGAACTGTGTAGACCAACCCTGTCTAACAGGAGTAAAATGATAGCTACAGGTGTACTTTAAATTCTTTCTTTTTTTTGTCTTTCTGAGACAGGGTCTCATTATGCAGTTCAGGCCACCACCACGCCTGGCTAAAATTTTCTAGTACTCACATTTTTTAAAATGTGCCCTTGTAGTACTGCTTTTTTTTTTGGTACTGAGAATCAAACTCATGATCTCATGCTTTCCAGGCAGGTGCTATGCTGCTGAGCTATATTCCAATATCCCCAGCCCTGCAGTACTGCTATCCGATAAGTAGATGTCAATATATAATTATGAGAAAAACTGAAGTATGCAATTGTTTGTTAATTCAGTCTTTTTCTATATAGTATTTCTTTTTTTTTTTTTTTTTGGTTTTTCTCCGGTACCGGGAACCGAACTCACGACCTTGCACTTGCCAGGCAGGCGCTTTGCCGCTGAGCTAAATCCCCAGCCCCTATATAGTATTTCTAAGTCAGACTTTATTACATTTCTACAATACAGTTTGATATACTGAGAATAACAACGATATTTGCTTTCCTTACTGTGGGTGTGAGGGGGTGTTAAATATTCAGTTCTATTAAAACAAAACGTACACTTAACTTTAATAATATATTAATTCAATTTAATGTATCAAAACATTTTTTAACATGCAATCATATCAAAAGTATGAGATGTAGTCAGACATAGTTGTGCACACCTGTAATTCCAGCACTCCTGGGAGGCTGAGGCAGGAGCATCATAAATTTAAGCCCAGCCTGGGAGATTTAGCAACTTAGGGAAACCCTGTCTCAAAATAAAAAATAAAAAAGGAAGAGGCTGGGGATGTAGTTCAGGGCAAAGGACCTGAGATCAATCCCCAGTACCGCAAAAATAAATAATTAATTGATTTAAAGTTTTGAGATGTTTAACCTGTTTTCATAATAAGTTTTCAAAATGTAGTGTACATGCAATATGACTCAGTTCAAACTTGTCACATTTAAAGTGCTTTGTGGGGCTGGAAATGTGGCTCAGCGGTAGAGCTCTTGCCTTGCATGCATAAGGCCCTGGGTTTGATCCCCAATAACACCAATTAAAAAATAAATGAAATAAAGTGCTTTATACCTTTGTGGCTAGTGGCTTTGTTAAGCTGACAAAGAAGTGGAGCTGAGAATAGGAGCACGGTCCCGGTGCTGGCTCACTACCGAATAGTCCTGGAACCACGACAAGACCTTCAACCGCTTGTTTTCTTCCTTCCCTCATCTGAAAAGAGGAGACATACTTCTCACCAATATTACAGGACTACAGTGGCATCAAATTAGAAACTTACGTAAGGGCACTCTGAAAGGTTGAAAATGTCATGCAAAAGGGAGGCATTATAATTATCCCAAGAATAAAGTAAACTCTGGTGGCACTGGTTCATGCAGTGTTTCTTAGCATATCTGAGATTTTCAGTATTACAGATCCTTATCGCTGCCTGAGATACTACAGGTTATAATTTAAATTCTCCAATGGAGACATAATGCCTATATTAGAAAACCCAATTACACTGGCTTGCTTTGAAGAATCTGGATCCCAGAGTCTCAGACTCCCCAGTCTTTCTTCCCTGACTTGACCTCAATATAGCCGGTTAGGAGACGATGGTGGAGTAGTTGGATATGATGAAGACAGGCTGATCAGAAGACTTTGGAGATTTGTATTTAGGTTAACTATATCACTGTGAATAATAGAATTCTTTCAACGCAGAGGGAAAGGAAGAGGCACGGCGACAATCACAAGCCCTGATACACTTCTGTGGCAGAGAGACAGAGAGAGACGTTTTCAGTCTTTATGTCCTCAGAGGACTCCAGCATGGTCATGTATTATTAACATTTTTAAATGTTCTTGGGAGATTCTCTGCAGAGCTCTAAGTGTCTCTTTCCAAAATCCCTCAGTTACTGTTTATCCACCGACCGAGATCAGACAGCTGATCACCCTCTCTGCTCTAAGAAATGATACCCAAAGGTATTTAAGGCATTTAAATGCCTTAATTATACTAGTTTTCTGGTAGGTGGAGTAAGCCGAGGCAGTGAGAAGCAAATTCCTCTCTTGGGAGTCGTGATAGCTTTTCTGTCAGTCTAAGCTCAGGAAGGCGCCCATTAGAAGTTCGCTGGGTCCGAGATGCACATCCCCTTCCTGCCACATCTGTCAGTCCTCAGAACTTTCCTCTTTCCTCTTTCTCAAAATATTTCTGACATCCCAACCCTTGCCTACCACCGTTGCCCGAGAGACCGCGGTGCTCCCTGCCCTAACGACAGTTGCTAGGGGGCGGGACTTCGAATCCGTTCCTAAGGGCTAAGAGCCGAGTCTAGTATTAAGGCGCATGCGCCACCTTCCCTCAGCTCTCGCGAGGTTTGGTCTTCGCGAGGTTTCGTCTTCTCGAACGCGGTAGAGGTCGTTTCCGGTCAGCCACGTCGCGATGTGTGGGGACTGTGTGGAGAAGGAGTATCCCAACCGGGTGAGATAGTAGGCACCGAGAACGCCCCGCTCCCTGGCCCCGTGGGCTTCCCCTGCGGCGCCTCCCGCCCCCGCTGGTCTTCTCGGACAGGCCCGGCGCCCGGCGGCTTCGGTCACGTGGCCGCTTCCGGTGACCGCCAGGCTGTATTGAGGCGCCGGTGACGGGCTGTGGCTGTCAGGCAGTTGGCCTCGGCCGGCGTTCCGGTCCTCGGGAGCCCCTGGGGGCGGCAGAGCAAACGGCACCCTCGCCCAGGCCGGCGGCAGCCGCCACTCCCGCCCCCGCGGGAGACCTCGCGGTGGATTTCGTGAAGTTCAGTTTTCAAGCCGAGTTCGAGCCCTGCAGGGAACTTCTGAGGTCGTCTGTGCTGACCCAGTTTGCAGATGATCAGGCTAACGCCCAGAGATGGGAAAGCCTTAGCGCAGGCTCTCGTTCTAGATAATGTCGGAGGCAAGATGCGAGTTCAGTTTTCCTGGTTGTGACTTTCTTTGGAATCTCAGCTTCTGTCAGGCCCGAGAAGTTTTAAAGCTTGTCTCTCCTCATTCGTTCGGCGGATCTGCTTGGACATTGAGACGTGTATAGCTGATTACCTTGCGAACCATAAAGGAACAACTTAAAAGCTTACAAATTGGGAGAGGGGAGGGGTGAATGTGATTAACAGAAACGAATAGGACAGACCATAAATGCTAGACGGGTGTGGTGGCGCACCCCTGTAATCCTTGCACTTGGGAGGCTGAGGCAGGAGGATCATTGTGAGTTCGAGACCAGCCTGGGCTACAAAGTGAATTCTGTGCCAGCCTGCACTGCATAGTGAGACCCTGTCTCAAAAAGACAAAAGAAAAACAAAACAAAAAAACCCCCCACAAACATGAATATAAATGTAGAGAAAAAGGAAAGTGATAGGGGGTAGGATGGCAGGTATTTCTCCCCAGAAAGTGGACTTAAGTTGGGACTTGAAGGATACTTGTAATTAGGGTAGAAAAGAAGGAGCTGAAGAGTGGAGGAAAGTAACAATTCTTGCTTTGGTTGAGAGGAGGAAGATCTGTACAGCTGCTTCCTCCTTTTAATATTTTATGAGTAATACATAGTCTTGCGGAAGTTGTATGTCATGAATTCTCATACTCACTTTTGAAAACAGGTTTTACATCAAATGAAGTTAAAGATGTGCACACTAAAATGACCTAGTAATTCTTATTCTAGAAAAATGCATGTGCATATATTTCTGGAGATTTGTAGAAGAATGTTCATAAGGGCATTATTTGTAGTGGCAGACTGGAAAAGTCACAGATACAGAACAGAGAGCATCATAAAAGAATGAGGAATACAGGTGAGTGAATTGGAGCAGTGATTCTCAACCAGGAGTGGTTTTGTCTTCCAGGGAACGTTTGGCAACAACTGAAGACATTTTTGTCACAGTGGAGGAACTACTTCTGGTATCTAATGGGTACAGGCCATTGATGCTATAAACATCTGTAATGCACAAGACAGCTGCCACAAGGAAGAATTGTATGCCCCAGTGCCAATAAAGCTGAGGTTAAGGAAACCTGAATTAGAGCAGTTAAAATAAATGAAAATTACACACAACCTAAAGTCTTACCAGTACTGTGTGATTAAAAAAATTATAATTTAGACACAAACAAGGTAAGCCAGGTGTCTTTTCTTGTGGCTGAGACAAAATACCCGGCAGAGTTAAAGGAGGAAAGGTTTATTGTAGCTCACAGTATGTAGAGGTTTCAGTTTGTAGTTGGCTGGCTCCAAGGCATGTTTGGCATGGCAGAGGGCCATTGCAGAGGAAAAACAGTTCATCGCAGGCAGGAAGGCAGCAAAGTAGCAAGAAAGCAGCCCGTGACAAGCAGCACCAGCAGCAGTCCTCTTTCTGTCCCTTATATTATATCCAGGCTACCCACCCTTAAGGCAGGTAGCACTTACACCCAGAGTGCAGCACCCTTAATGCTAGCTTTGTACCATAAATCAGTCCAAGCATCACATCCTTCATCCCAGCATCTTATACCTTAGGCATCTCTGAAAAGCGCCACCCGTGACTGCACGGGCCTTTGGGAAGATATCTAGATACAAACCATAACACAAGGCATGAGTATGCATTCCTGTAATCCTAGCACTCTTGGATTGCAAGTTTGAGTTGAGCCTGGGTAATTTAGGATTTTAGTGAGAATGGGGATGTAGCTCAGTGTGAAGGCTGTAGGTTCAACCCCCAGTTCCTAAACAAAATAGAGAAAAATGAAAAGGAAAATGTCCTGGGTGGTAAAACTGTAAAGGAATGCAAGCAATTACCATAAAGTGCTGTTGATTATTGCTAAAGGATAAAGGCAGTAATATTGACCCTGTAAGAGTTTTCAGTGATAACAGCCCACTGCAGTACATGTGCCATAGGTTTGTCCCCCCAGGATTAAGTGGATTGGGGGCATAATCAGGAATGAAGGGAAGGCTTTGGGATGGAAGCATTGTTTTATTTGAGTGATGGTTCTTCAGAGGTTCACTTAATTATTCATTAATCTGTACACTTATGTCTCATATTTTTCTGTATTGTATTTCATTCACTTAATTTAGAAAGGGATTTTTATTAATCTAATAATGAACATTGCACATTGCAGGGACCATGAGGGAGAAGTTTTCAGTGGAATTTACTAAAGACATTAGGTTGACTTCTTAAGAGTAGAGCCAAATAAAAGACAAGTCGTACACAGAAGTTTAGATTTTACTCTTTATAGGCCATAGGCAACCATCAAAATGATTTAGTATAGGAAATGACTCCAAAATCTGTTGTTAGGGAATACAAATCATGGCTGTATGTTGGGGTGGTGGGGTGGGGTTGGGAATGTGAAAGGAGTGCCCACAGAATGAAGCAACAGTGTAGGCGTGGGAAAAATGAAGGCCTGATTTCAGAAGAAGGAACTAATGGGACTCAGTCAATTTAATGTAGGAAAGAAGAAGGGGAGGGGTATAGATGATCTCAGGGTTTCCAAACTGGGCAGCTGAGTTGGAAGTACCATCACAGACATTAGAGGCATATGAGAAGCAGCAGCAAAATTGGGGTGCATATGGTGAAGTTTTCTATCATGCTTCATTTGAGGTTGAGAATGTATCATCTGAGGAGCCATAAAGATACAGTGTTTGAGTATGAGTCAGGCAAATAAAGATGTCAAAATAGAAGAGACTTGTTCTTGTGGAAAACAATGTAGAGAACTAAAGACTGAGCTTCAAAGAATAAATTAATTTAGGAAATAAAAAATTTAAAAATCTAAAGAAGAAGAGTAAGGATTGAGGCGATTGGAAAACCAGAAAAGTGCCTTTCCAAAGCACTTCTCCCTGTTTCATTCTGTTCTGAATTAATTAAAGGCTGTCATGAAGAATTAACTTTTCTTTGAAATTTTAGAAGGCATATTTAGTGGGCGGATGTTCAGAGTTTTGATAGACTTTGACTCAGAATAAGGAACTTTCTAGCACGTGTTCTAAAATGGGATGGATAACTTTTGGGGGAAGTGAACCCCCTTGTTCACTAGGCTGGAATATCAGGGACCCTCCTCAGTCTGGACTTCTTTGAAGTTGTCACATATTTTTAAGGGCATTAAAAGTAGAAGCCAGTTTGCTTGAGCTTAGCAAAAGAAAGGGTAGTAAAATGGGAGCAGCAAATATAGTTCCCTAATTTTAAAAAAAAAATTGGCAGAGAAAATAGATTAGCTTGTCGGGAAAGTAAGTGCACAATAAATAAGTGGTATTTAATTATTTATCCTTGGTTACATAAAGTACCTGGGGTTTAGTGATTGATGTTTTTTCATAGACTAGAAATAACACAGTACTGAATTCCTAACAGGGCTCTGCCCTACTTGCTTGTAATGCTACACTGAGAACTTGCACTCAAGCATGAATGTAGTTGGACATTAACCATTCTAATTTTCTAAAGCTAAATTTTTTCTACTCAAGTATGAACCCAAAATGTTTTTCTTTTAAAAAAGCATTTAGGAAACCATTTAGAACTAGAACCATATTGCATTTTCTAAAATAACTGAACAGAACAAAAGTGTAATAAATTTTTTTAAGTATTTTTTTTAGTCTTTTTGAGACCGAGTCTCACTATGTAGTTGAGGCTGGCCTAGCCAGCAACCCTCTTGCTTCAGCCTCTCAAGTGCTGGGATTATGAGTATGCGTCACCACACCCAGCTGTAATAAAATGTTTACAAGTCAAATTCAAATGAAACCTGCATTTCATATATTTCAAGTTTCATCTGTAAACTTAATAATACAACAGAAACGGAGACATAAATCATTAGATTAATCAGAAGGAAAAATCAGTGTGAGTGAGTTTAAATTAAAAGTCATGTGTTTTATATCTCGTCCAAAACTAAGCTACCAGTGTTCATGTATTCAGATTCTTGCTTAGTAGTTAGGATTAAGCCAATTTTAATTAAATGCTGAGTTGCATATATAACTATTAAAACATTGTATGTGACTGGGTGTTTTAAAATGCTACTCTGCATTTTTAAATGTTATGGTTATAAATGCCTATATTAAAAAAAGAACAATCTTAAATCAATAGGCAGACATCAAGACAATGGAAAATCAAGAGCCAGCTAGACCTAAACTAAGCAGAAGGAAGGAAATAAAGTAGAAAGCAGAAATCAAATAAGGAATAGAAAAGCAGTAGGGGGAAAAAAAAAAACAAAAAAAACCATAAAGCTGGTTCTTTAAAAACTATAGTCTCAGTCAGGCATGATGACACACGCCTGTGATCCCAGTACTCTGAAGCAGAAGGATTGCAAGTTTGAGGCCAGCCTGGGTAACGTAGGGGGAATCTTGTCTTTAGAAAAAAAAAAAAGATCTAGGTATGTAGCACAGCGAAGGGCCTGGGTTCAATCCCTTATACCAAAAAGAAGGAAAGAAAGAAAGAGAAAATGAAGGAGAGGCTGAGGATGTAGTTCAGTGGTAGAGGGCCTGCCTAGTAGTTTTGCAAACACACACACACACACACACACACAATATATTTTCCCCTTTTGTGTGGTGTTGAGGATTAAATCTAGAGCCTTGCACAAGCTAGGAAGTACTTAACCACTGAGTTACTTCCTCAAACTTCCATTTTTAAACATTTCCTTACAAACATATACATTAACTTACATATACATTATACCTATATTTACAGTACTTGTACCATCAGAAATACTTCTTTAAAAAAAATTGGTTTAATCCTTGTCAAAATAATTGCAGATTTCTAAGATTTAAAATATTTTACGCTATACCATCACATCAATTATCATCTATACTATCATATTAATATCATAATTTTCAGCCATTTCTTCTGGCACACTTGTGTATCTTTAGCAGTCAACCATGGGCCGGGTGTGGTGGCTGAAATTTAGTAATCTCAGCACTCGAGGGGCTGAGGCAGGAGGATCCTTGCAAGTTCAAGACCAGCCTGGGCTACAAAGTGAGCTCAAGGCCAGCCTGAACTGCATAGCAAAACCCTGTCTCAAAAAGACCAAAAAAAAAAAAAAAGAAAGAAAAAAGAGAGAGAGAGAGAGAGAAATCTTCAACCAGGACTTATCTGCATCACATTTTCTAAGAGTACCTCACTTTTTTCCCTTCTTAGAACTGATACAGCCTTACTATTATTATGGTGGAATTGATTTTGATTGTAGTCTTCTTTTTTCTCTCCAAGAGTATTGTGTGCTTTAGTTTACTTTCTCAAATTTGGATGTTAATAGTCCAATAAAAGGGCTATACCTCACCCATAAAGGGTACTGTCACTGCCCTCAAATGAGCAGGGAAGGGTCTCAGGGAAAGTCCCATCAGTTGCTTATATACTGCACTTGCAGTTTGGCATTTCTTTTTTGTTTGTTTGTTTGTTTTGTTTTGTTTCTGGTACTGGGAATCGAACTCATGACTTTGCGCTTGCCAGGCAGGCACTGTGCTGTTGAGCTAAATCCCCAGCACAGTTTGCCATTTCAAATATTTACTTACCGCACAGCAAATATGGATATCTTCTTCTTTCTCAGTGTTTCCTTAGAGTTTCCATTCTGCTTATTTATAAGAACAGAGTTTAGTCTGTACTGTGCAAGGAGCTATGTTTATGGTAAAACCCTGTTCAGTTCTATTGGAAATTGATATTGAGATCTTTTTAGAGATTGTTTTACTTTCCTTAATTTTGGAATCCATGGCAGTCTGACTCCAACCAGTCTCATTTCAAATTCTAGCAGGTTTTTTTTTTTTTTTTGGTAGAAGTTTGTAAATTTTAAAATTTGTATGAAAATGAAAAAAAAAAAACTATAATAGCTGGGTTATAGTACATAAGCTACCCAGTGTAAAGACTTTCTGTAAAGCCACAATTAAGAGAATGTTGCTGGGCATGATGGTCCATGTCTGTAATTCCAGCACTGTGGGAAGCTGAGGCAGGAGGAATCACAAATTTGAGCTCAGCAGGGGCAATCTAGCAACTTAGTGAGACTGTCTCAAAAAATTTTTTTTAAATAAGGGTTGGGGATGTCACTTACTGTGAGGGTCCTGGGTTTAGTCCCCAGTGGGGAGGGGGGGGAAATGTAGTACTACTACAATGATAGATAAATAAGTCAAGGAAACAGAAGAGTCAAACAGGACCTAGTATATGTAGTCATTTGATTTTTCTACAAAGACACCATTGTAATTCAGTGAAGAAAGGCTTGTCTTGCAACAAATGTTGCTGGGATAATTGAGTATCTTTATGGAAGTTTGATCCTTACCTCATACCAAATTATTTCAAGATCATAAATCTAAACTTACAAATTAAAACTATAAAACTTCTAAAAGAAAACAGGAGAAAAACCTTCACAATTTTGCAATTTGTGGTAAGCAAAGATGTCTTAGGGGAAAGAAGCACAAATTGAAAGAGGAAAAAATGATAAACTGGAGTTCATAAAATTCAACACTACTTTTCAAAGAGCACCATTTTTTATTTATTTATTTATTTTTTTAAGAGCACCATTTTTTAAAAAACAAACCAATGATGAGAAAATCTTTGTTGTATTTGGCAAAAAAAAACCCCAAACCCTTGTATCTAAGATATATAAAGAATTCTTAATACAAGAAGACAAGCAGCCTAACTTTAAAAGTGAGCAAAAGACTCTAATAGTTCACCAGAGAAGTCATAAATAGACCCAAAGAAGAGGTGCTCCACATCATTAGTCACTAGGGAAACCCACATGAAAACTACAGTGCTATTACCATTTCATAACAAGTGGGTAAAGTAAAATAGACTGGAGCAACTGGAACTCATCCCTTGTTGACAGGCCTTTAAAATGGAAGGCAGCTATGCTAACCACTGTACCACCAAGGCCTCTTGGGCCTTTAAAATGGAAAACAATTTGGTAGATTCTTACAAAGTTAAATATACTTTTTAAACCATATAATGGACTCAGCAATTCTCTTTCTAGATACCCCAGTGAAAGGAAGACACCTACACAAGACTTGGACATGAATTTTCATGGTTGCTTTATTCATTATAATCCCGAACTGAAAATACCCCAAATGTCCATCAGCAGATGGATCTGTGCACTGGAGTGCTCCTTGTGAAATTCTGGGACTTGGAACAGTGTATGGAGAATCAGATTTTTGGGTCCCTGGTATGAAATAGAGGTTAAAATAGACCTAAAGCATGAAGGAACTTCCTGGGGAGAGAGAGATGTTCTGTATTTTGATAGTGTGGCTACATGGGTATATGTATTTGTTTAAAAACTCATTCGTCTATGTCCTTATAATATGTGAATTTTATTCTCTATAAATTATACCTCAGTATACATTTTAAAGTTAGTTACCTTAAAAAAAAGCAAGTCAAAGTAATTGTTCTTGATATCTACAAGTAAATTTATACCTTAATTCCAAGGCTTTTTTTCCATTTGTAGTTCAGTCAGTGATTTAATATGTCCAAACTGTGTAGTAGTGTCTTGATTTCCTCCCACCAGGGTTAATCTCTTCCTTCATACATAGACCTGAGAAGGCTCTTAGAAGAAAGAGACTGACTGTGGTGCTGGGAATCCAGAAAGACTTACTGTGGCATTTAAGGTGGTCTTAAGGTACAGCTTAATTCTTAAGCCCTTTGAAGGTTAAAACACGGGTTGCTTATCCTTAAATCCTCCGTGGTGCTTCATATAGTATCAGGCAGATAAATACTTTGGGGAAATGTTGATTTAGATGATTTTTAGTCACCGTGACTATTTAAAAATACTCTAAATTTGCTGCCCAGAAATGGCTTAGGCTAGAGTATTTATAAAATGACTTCATTCTTAACAGTTAGTAGTAAGACCTTAGCAGAGTTCTTTAAGCCAGGAATGTAAGTTGTTCACTGTTTCTTAGGGATGAATCTAAACCCTGTCTTTCTTGAATGCTGTGTGTCAGGCTAATGTATCATGGAATTTGTTTTCTCTGCCAGAATCATATATATCTGTCAGAACTGATGTCTATGGATCTGAATGCTTTGGTTTATTTTGTGGTATTATTAAGGCTTGAGAAAAAGGTATTTCAGCATGTTTCTAACTACCTGCTTGCATTTTGTTCTTTTACATACAATTCCTGTCCTCAGAGACTTGCAGACTTAACAGTGCTTCCGTTTTATTAACCCTGAATAACATGTCTTTAGGAAAGCTGGTAATTACTTGGTGAAGACTTCAAGCAAGTAAATTCTGGCCATGTTTTTTGCTTTTAAAGAATTTAAATCTATTAATCACTGTCACCAAGATATCAAAATGTAAGAAGTAAGTTGCTATTTTTAACATTTTAGGGTAACACCTGTCTGGAGAACGGATCATTCTTACTGAACTTTACAGGCTGTGCAGTGTGCAGTAAGCGGGATTTTATGCTGATCACAAACAAATCCCTAAAAGAGGAAGATGGAGAAGAAATAGTGACCTATGATCGTAAGTAGGCTTTTTTGGTTTGTTTTTAATACAAATCTGTTAGCAGATACCAGCTTGCAGAGGTCTGATACGTTGTACAAAGCGTTCTGAGGCCTATTGTATTCCAACAGCTAGTTACTAGTTAGATTTTTAAGAGTGAAATATAGTTAACAGCTCATTATCTGACATCATCCAATATTCTACATAAATGACTTTTGCAGGTAACTGATGCTTGTGATTCAGGCACCAAATTTTTTTATTAAATTATTTCTTCAACATTTTAAAGGCCTTTATAGTGCCTTAAATAAGATACAGAGACTCTTTTTTACTGGTAGGGTCATCTCTTGAGTTTTCAGTTTCTATTGTAGCATATGCAGTGATGGCCTCTCACAGCTATTGAAGTGTTTGGGGCTCTTTGCCCCTAAATGAGATGACTCTGGGATGTTATGGTTTTTTCAGTCTTATTTTTGCTTTTATAACTTGTTGCTTGTTTTTATAACTTTTTTTTTGGCTTCCTGTTAGTCTGTTGTTTCTTT